TATATATATTATAATTTAAATAAATATTATATTTGAACTCATAATTTTAAAAGTATAATATAAGTCGGGGGTACGTCAAGAAAAATGAAGGATCCACCTAACATAAGTTTTAAGTAAAGGGTAGTCCTATACACAAAGTATTCTGCATCCACGCAAGGTCTGGGGAAGGGCAGTCTACCCTGATGCAAACGTCAATGACTGATTCCACGGCTCGAACCCGTGACTTATACGTCATACGAAGACAACTTGACAATTGCTCCGAGGCTCCCATCACAAGTGTTAGGTAAAAACTATGAATTGTGAAAGCAAATATAAACATATATGTCCATACAATTGATGTAACAGATGTTGTTTAGTACACATTATGCTGGAGATATTCTAGCACTAAGATTTCGAAATGGAGAGCCCTGGAAAAAGGTTTTTGGCCCTGTTTATATCTACCTAAATTCTGTCTCATCTGATGATGAAGATATTCTCACACTATGGACAGATGCAAAGGAACAGGTACTGATCTATGTTACAATCCAATTTAAGTATAGTACAAGGTCTTTTCTTAATTATCAATCTGACTCAGACTTTAATACAAACAGATGTTAATAGAAACCGAAAATTGGCCATACGATTTCCCTCTTTCGCAAGATTTCGTTACAGCTGATCAGCGAGGTACTGTAAGTGGCAGATTACTCATTAGCGACAGGTATATTAACTTACTATTTCTCTACTAGCTAGTTTATACGAAATCGAACGATTATTTTTTTATTGATTATTAACAAACTACAAGTTTCTTATTGCAGCTATGTAAGTAAAAGACTTATCACTGCAAATTCTGCTTTCATTGGGTTGGCTGCACCTGGAGATGTAGGGTCATGGCAAACTGAAAATAAGGTTTATATTTAAGTATTTTTAGCACCATTTTTATTTTTTATTTTTTAGCTGCATTAGAATTTTTTTCCACCAATACATGATTTTTGTTTAATGTTCTTCAGGGTTATCAATTTTGGACTCAAACAGATAATGAAGGATATTTTTTGATTAAAAATATCATCCCAGGCAATTATAGCCTGTATGCTTGGGTTCCTGGATTTATTGGTGATTACAAATTCAAGAACTACATCAACATTACCCCAGGTTTGCATAAAACACTTTTAGTTGCTCCATCCACTTAAAATCCGGTACCATACTGACCGATGAAATTTAGGCTCGAATTGTGAAACAATACTTTTACTTTTAACCGATAGGTCAAGAGTTCGAGTCACATGAAATAAATAAGATAATACGACTCTTAGTCCTCTTGAAGTGGGGCTAGGGTTAAAAATGAAATACCATGTTAACTCGTAAAGTCAAGTCAATGTTTGATAAAGTTGACGCATTTAGTTTTTATATACTCAACTTTTATACTGTTCGATCACCTCAAAGATAACTATATGTAACTGTTGATAGTAAGTGAAACTAGTTAACTAGAATATACCGCAAGTAGCTTGCTATAAAACGTTAAACTACACTTACGGGGTAGAATTTCCTTGATTTTCACATTTTTGTTAACATGATAGTACTAATAATGTTCAGTACATATCTAACATATCCGGGGGCGAAGGTACATAGCCCTCAGGGTGGTCAACTGACCACCCTTCGTCGAAAAATTATACTGTATATATAAGTAAAATATTAAATTTTTAATAGTATATAACATATATTGAACACCCGGAATTTTTTTTTACTTATTTCAAGTTTGAACACCCTAAATGAAATTCTCGGTTTCGCCACTGAACATAGCTACGTAAAAACAGGATCAAGAACTAGGCTGCAAACTCTAGTGTATAACCCTCCAAGGAATGGGCCAACATTGTGGGAAATAGGCATTCCTGAAAGAACTGCTGCAGAATTTTTCATTCCTAATCCACAACCAAGACTCCAAAACCAGTTATACATCGAACATTACGCAGAAAAGTGAGTCAACTTCGTTTAAATTATGCGTCTAATTTTTTTCTCAAGTTTTTTCTTGACTCAATCAGAACTTGTTCTGTTCGTTTTTTCAGGTTTAGGCAATATGGACTATGGGATAGTTACACACAACTATACCCTAATGATGATTTAATCTACACTGTTGGATCAAGCAACTATCAAACAGATTGGTTCTTTGCTCATGTAAATAGATGTACTTTCAAGTATGTCCGAAAACATCCTTTTCCCTTTAGCTTGTTTATTATTCACAAATATTATTGCAGTGGTAATGAGAATAAGAGTAATGTCTTCAAGTTCCTAACCTATAGACCTAAAAAAGGATAAAATTAACTTATTTACATTGACGACATATAGTAAATAATTCTTAAAATATCGGTGTAATTTAATCTGTTATAGCAGGTTGTATGCCGTAATTTGCACGTTTGTTGTCTGTCCTATTCTATTGTTTTAATCTTGATTGTAATATTTTTGCCAAACAGCGATGAAGGGAACAAAACATATATACCAACAACATGGCAAATTGTGTTTGATCTTCAAGAAGTGGAGAAGTCTTCAAATTATACACTTCAGCTAGCATTGGCTTCAATAAATGAAGCTGAATTACAAGTATGGACTAACATATTTTCACATTCTTTGTATATCTGCAAAATTTCTCTTGTATCTATTGTATTTTTTCGACTCACTCTGTGTTTTAATTGTTTAGATTCGAGTAAACGATCAAGATGCAGATCATGTACCTCACTTTACGACAGGGTTGATAGGCAAAGATAACGTGATTGCAAGACATGGAATTCATGGATTGTATTGGTTGTATAGTATAAATGTCCCTGGATTTCTTTTTGCTACTGGAAAAAATGTTATATTTCTTAAGCAAAGTAGAGGTTCAAGCCCCTGGAGTGGACTCATGTATGATTATATTCGACTTGAAGGCCCTCCTGCAAATGATTAAACAAATTCGCAAGCTGATTCTAAGTAATCGTTGTTATTCATTGGATTCCGGAGGAATTACTTTGTTAGGATTGGGGAATTGCTACTATTCTTCTTAAATGGTGTGGATTCTTTTTTAATCTCCCGTCTTTTTTAAAAAAGCAAAACTCGATCGGATAGAACAGATGATATAACTACATAACTTTTTCTTTGGTGGATATAATATAAAGGGGAAATTGGGGGATGCTGATACAATTAGAAGTTCAAAAAGCAACAAAAACTCAAAATTTCTATAAATGACTTTGGAAATCTTAAGTGTGGAACTTTTGTCATGCTATGCTATGATTCAAACACCTTGTCGCACGTTTGCTTGAAAGTAAACTCTCTTTCTTTCTCTATTTATTTAACCAACGAGAATTTTTTTTAAATTTATCTAGTTAACTAATATTTGACTTTTTTTCACACTACTCTCATTTCACTTTAACTCTGTTGAGAATGTAGACGGCATAAAAAATACTACACAAATAGGTTGCTTATTAGGAATTACGTACATAAATCTCCGGATAACCATTAATTGGTAATCTAGTCAAAAAAAGTTGCTAACTCGTTACTATAGATTACAATTCACTCGAAAAATATATAAAAGATCATTGGGCTACGTGGGCTCTCCATAATAATTATGACCCATACACGATCATCCAAGTCAGGCTTTTTTTGTTATTGGGATAGGTGAATTCTTATAGATCCATCCCTCGATGGAACTGGACATGATAATTTTTAATCATTCAGTTCTAGCAAGAATAAAAAGAACCAAATGAATCCATATCTTCATATTTTATATATATATATGGTACCAGTATTTACACATAGACATATATGATATGGGAATTGTTCAATGTAAGAAAAATTTGACTGGATCTTTTTTTACGGAGTTGCAACTATCTATTACAAAATAAAGAATTCCGTTCTTACAAGTAAATACTCAAGACCCAAGTAGGCTTACAAATCAGATCATGATATGATCAAGTGCTTTCTGGGTCGTCTCAGACCTTCTAATTGGTATTTATCTCCAAAATATTTTTAGATACACATACAAGGTTTGCTTGTTACTAATATAGTCTAGCCTCTCTTCTTCTTTAGATCCCTTGTTTCACTCCAGAGAAAATAAATACATTTACATACAATTTAATCTTATAAGTGAACTAGATAAATCGAAATCTAATTCACTGGTCACAAAATAAATTTTTAATGTTAAGTATTCAGGATGATCAGGACTATATATGCCTAAATCATATGACCAAATATTGTTCAAAGTTTCTAACTTATTTGGTATGATAGCAGTGTTTTTTACCCAACATTCTATTTTTATGCCTTCACAAGAAATGAAGGTCGTTGAATTGTACAAATTACAAAGCATGTTGGGGTTGGCAAACCAGGGAATATATTATTTTTATTTTAACAAACATAGACATTTTGTTTGACTTCCCTATTACTATAACTTAAAGTATTAAAATTGAAATTTTATTATTTAGTTTCTTATTTTACTAGCTTAACGTCTGTAGTATAGGGATGGTGTCCCAATTCAATTTAGCTTAAGCCTAGATTACAAGAAGGGCAAAAGTCCAAATATGCCCTTATACTATACGAAATTGAGCACATTTGCCCTTCGTTAATACTTTAGTTCAAATATGCCCTTATCGTCACATAATTGGTCCATATATGCCCTTAGAGTTACACAGTTGGCCCATATATGCCCTTTTCGAAACGGAATTCACCCAAACTCATTAGCTCTTTCTTTAATTGTATTAAAGTGTATTACAAACACTATTTACTTTTTATTAGTACTTTTTTTTTCTTTACCTTTCTCTTTTCTTTCATCTTTTTTCTTTTCTTCTCTTTTTTTTCCTTTTTCTTTCTCCCTTATCCGATTTCCTTCGTTACTGATGTCTTCTCCATTTTCATTACCAATTTCACTTGACAAAACTCATAAAGTCCAATTACTAAAAAAATTCTCCCATAAGGTAATCAAGTTCCAATTTCACTGGCCCTTTAAATAAATAAAATTAAATTATTTCAAAAATTATGGTTTAAAATTTAAAATAATAAAAACATCTCAACCTTTAACAATACTCAAAAGACCAAAATATTTAAATTATTTCTAAAAAGATAATTTAATGATTAAAAGCCTAGAGTTCAAGTTGTAGTGTTATAAATTTGAGTTGTTAGTCTTTTTTCAGCTGGACATTTTCTATTTTTTTTAACTATGTAAATTAGGGGTGTACATGGAACGAGTTGGTTCGATATTTTTTTATCAAAATCAAACCAAACCAATTATATCGGTTTGGATTGTTCGATTTTGTTGGATTTTCGGATTTTTTGTTACATAAATATTATTTCAATCTTACTTTGTTAAATTTTTTAGAACTAAATATATGTTCAGTAAAAATTTAAAAATTTAAAAACATATGATCTATAAAAATATTTTTATGGGAGAATTTTCTTAGTAATTGGAATATATGAGTTTTGTCAAGTGAAATTGGTGATGAAAATAGAGAAGACATCAGTAATGGAGGAAATCGGATAAGGGAGAAAGAAAAAGGAAAAAATAAAGAGAAGAAAAGAAAAAAGATGAAAGAAAAGAGAAAGGTAAAGAAAAAAGTACTAATAAAAAGAAAATAGTATTTATAATACACTTTAATACAATTAATGAAAGAGCTAATTAGTTTGGGTGAATTCCGTTTCGAAAAGGGTATATATGAGTCTACTGTGTAACTCTAAGGGCATATATGGATCAACTATGTGACGGTAAGGGCATATTTGAACTAAAATATTAACGAAGGACAAATGTGCTCAATTTCATATAATATAAGGGCATATTTGGACCTTTTCCGTTACAATAATAATTGGAATTTTGCCAAAGTTTGGCTCAACCACCAAAACGGACTTTGAAAAAAATCCGTGGCGACTACACATGACCCAATTGTTGGTTTTCGATCAGAATTTAATTTATATAAATTACAATTAGTGTAATTTAATATGTTTGCCCACAGTAATTTTAATATTGCACATGAAAGAAACGACATCCCATGATTAGAGAAGTTTTTGGAAAAAGTTTCGAGAGTATTACTCCATTTGTTTTGAAAACAGAATTTTTTAATTTCTCCATGCCCATTTGTGAAATTATACTGAGTTTGTTGTTGTTAATGCTTTCGGAATCGAAAAAATAAAGGCTTGTATAAAACCTAAACTTCTGGTCTTTGACATAAAGAAATAAGTAATAACGAAGGGGACGTTTTCAAATTATCTTCTAGCTAGTGGAATAAGAAAGATATGGATGATTTACTCATGTAAACCAATAAAAAAACGAGAAAAGAAATATAAAAAGAAAAAATCAAAGTCGAGTCTTATGTCGGATTTTCTCAAAATTTTCGAGAAACTTATTGAATTTCTAAATGAGTTTTTATAATGCTATACTTCAATTAAAGATTGAGTCAAAGGAGAATTCCGCTTTACAATACGAAAAATCTTTTTCAAGAACCTAGGCGTATAGCCGTATACAAAGTAAATATTGTTTTTTGCTTTAACAGATCATATTACTATATTTTAAGATATATCCGATAATACATCGTAATTCAATAACATTTTATGAATACGTAATGTGACACTTTACATATCCGACAAAGATTTTTCTAAAGATATTTCCAAAGCCTAATTCTCTAAAAACCAAACTCTTTCGATCGGACGGAAAATTCATAGATTAATTTTTATCTAGCTCTATATATATATATATATATATATATATATATTAGTGGAAGAAATCCTAATTTGTCTGCGTTTTTGTCCAAAGACGTACTTGTACCGTCAAAGGTAAATACCTAATACAAACTGGAAGTCAAGGTTCTAATCTTAATGAAATAGTACTACTTATTTGACAATTTTTATTTATTTATAAATATGGGTGCGTACGCATGTAATTAAATCCTTTATATATACAGAAACACTAACCACTTGTAATAAGAAGTTCAACTACGTTTATCTTATTGGTTTCAAGTTTCAACTATTATCTTTTAAACCTAAAAGGTTCAGAAGCTCCATTCAACTTTTATATACGCAAATATCCTCAAGAACTTCAAAGTTCAAAGCAATTTTGGCTTTCTCTATGGTACATATGAAGTTCTCTTCCTCTTTTTTTTTCTTTCTTTTATGTCGTTGATAAAAATTTTGCCGGAAAATTATACTGTTTAGCAAGATTAAAAATTTATTNTCCTGACTCTGCCAACTGTCGTTGATACTTCTTGCATGGTTTGTGATAATATTCATCTATGTTCCTTCGTCAAACTGTTCAACCACTTCATCTAAGATTAAAAGCTTAAGCTGTTAGTGTTAATAATGGATGCAAGTGTGAACTAAACCGTCAAGATCTCTGCATATTTTGATACCTGATTGAGTTGTAATTGTGTGCATGTTAAAGATTGTATACGTTTTTATTCACTTAATTATATTTTTAACGTTGATGGTTGTTCTTTTGCAGTGTTTTATGATAGGAGAGATGGTTGGAAAGAGGCTACAACGACAAACATTATTATGGTTTATAATTATTATCCAGCTTTTCTCGATTTTCACAAGTTCGAGGATGCTGCATGCTAGGTATATATAAATAAACTGAGATACTAATAACTTTCTGTTTTTTCTTTTTTCTTTTTCCAGTGTGAAATTTTAAGCTCAAACACTTAGCTATATCGAGAGTTTCTTTTAGTTTTTTCCTTCTTTTATCCGCATAAAACAACAAGAAGAAGTATTTATAAAGAAAACCAAAAAACAAAAACACTGGATATTGTAATTTCTCCAATTTGTTATACATTGTTGAATGGATGTTAATTATAACATGATCATTAATTAAACGGATAATTTCAGAGACCTCCCTCTAAGTTTCACCCTATCACACTGACCTTGCTTGTGGTTTACAATATTACGCCCACCTCCCTTATTTTGATTTTCTTGTAACCATTTTTTAAAATCATTTAAAATAAATATAAATATTCTTTAAATAAAATACAATTTGACAAATTTGCCCTTTTTAATGTTAAAAAATACGAATCAACCCAACATATATATACCCCTACCTGTATATTTCCTTCTGGTAACGAGATGATATTTTAAACTACAAATAGAGTATAATTGTTAAGCTTTTAATTTATTCAATGTAACAAAACTACTAA